TGGGCATTCCAGGAGCAGAACGAGAGAGGGGAGGCCGAGGAAGAGGAACTGCTCCATGCCGAAAAGAGCGGGTTAAACCCGCCACGAGACAGGCTCAGGCGGTCGCACAACCTGCGCCACCTTGGCCTCGATGTCTGTGCGACTGAAGTTGAAGTGCTGCAAATTGACATCGGCGTACTCGATCGTCGGCACCTCGTTGCCCGGGGCAGGAACGCCGCGGAGCAGGGGCTTCCATTGCAGGCTGACCTCGCCCTTCGCCTTGTTAATGTGGAAGTGATGCTGCGGATATAGTTCTGAAAGCACGCGCTCGAGCTGCTTTGCGACGATCTCGCGCTTGACTTGAGCCTGTGACTTGTCAACCGATACAAAGACCTCAGAAGGAGTGTTCTGGGAGTCCATCGCGCTGAATCGTTGCCACTCCTGCGCGCTCATCTTGAAGCTGCCGATAATTTGTCCCACTCGACGGGCTGCTTACGCTGGAGATCCCTTGATGCGGAGCACAAATCTCTTTCCAACGGGGTCTCCTTCAAATTGCACCTCGCTGTGCGGAATATTGTTCTTTTCAATGATAGGTTTGACCACGGACTCTGCGACTGACTCCTTGGTCGAGTAACTCTTGCACCTGATGACGAGAACCGTGGGGTCTGGCTGGCGATCGAATTCGTTCGAGGAGGGGTCCACCACCGCCTGTGGTACCTCCTTCTGCATGATCCCCAGAATCTCTTCCAGGCGGGTAATCTTTGCCGACATACGTGCCATCTCGTCTTTCTGCTCACGTTGTGTGCGTTCGAGTCCTGACATACGTGCTTCCACTTGTCTGCTGAGGCCACCGACGGAGTCGTTGACCAGCTTGCCAAGGGAGCCGACGTTTGTGGAAATAGCTGAGATGGCCTGAAGAAGCTCCTTCTTTGTGTCGTCCACATACTGCTTGAGGTCATCTGACTCCATGGCATCCTCGAAGGACTGTGAGCGGCTTCTGTCGTCGTCACGGGGGCCCCCACGACCACGCTGAGGAGTGCCAGAATCACCAGTACCTGGGCGAACACGGCCACCACGTCCCTGAGTTTGAACAGCAGCTGCGGCACCTGCGACCCCTTCCTGGGACGGGAACGTCGGCGCTGCCTCGAGCAGAGCGAGAAGTCCACTATTGCTTGCACCAGCCATCGTTCGCTCTGGCTACGCAGGTAGCCGAAGGCGCCCAAAACGACGGAGGGGCTGTGGGTGGGGAGCGCCGTGGCCTGCGGCGGCCTGAGAGATGGCCCCGGACGGGCCAAAGCTAATCGCTGATTCTCGGGCGTTTAAAGCCCTTCACAACGTTTAGCCTTGAGCCAAAATGGCTACGGACCTCCTCCTCCTCCTCCTCCTCCTCCTCCTCCTCCTCCTCCTCCTCCTCCTCCTCCTCCTCCTCCTCCTCCTCCTCCTCCTCCCTTCTCTCAACGCACCCAATACACGGGTGCTTACTGGAACGAGTCCCGGGAGCCTGTTTGGAAGCATCGTGGCAGTCTCTGGAGCCTCTCCAGGCCTTCCTTTGGAAACCTTTGGGGCCTTTGTTGGCCCGTCTGAGGGCCCATTTCGGCCGTTCCAGGTCCCGCTTGGCTCGTCGTGGGGAGCTCAACCCGTCTTGGGGGCCTCCTGGGGCCCTCTCCGACCATGTAGGAATCCTCTGGTGGCCCCCTCGGGCTTCCTGGGGGGTCTCTTGGGCAGGCTTGTAGCTCTTCTGTGCCGCTTGAAGCTCTCTCCAGCCTGTCTTGGAACCCTCTTTGGGGCCTCTGGGGCCGTCTGGGGCCCATTTTGGTAACATCTTGGGCCGTCGCGACCGCTGGTAGAACTGAAAGGCGAAGCTCCCAGAAATATACGTTTTTTTTCCATCGGAAATGCTCAAATTTTGCCTTTGGAGGGCCGTCTCAGCGGCCTCTTTGACAGTCGTGGGGGGGTCATTTGGGGCTCTTGCGGCCCGTCTGGGAGCCCACTTCGGCTGTCCCAAGCCCCCCTTGGCATGTCATGGGTAGCTGAGCCGTCTTGGGGCCCTCATGGAGCCCTCTCCGACCATGTAGGGATCCTCTGGTGGCTCCCTCGGGCCCCCTGGGGACTCTCTCGGGCTGTTTTGGAGCTCTCTTGTGCTGCTCGACGCTCTCTTGAGGCTGTCTTGGAGCCCTCTTGGGGGCCTCGTGGACCGTGTGGTGCCGATTGGGGCCGACGTGGCCGCCGATGGAACATACGAAGCGAATCTCATAGAAAGGTATGTTTTTCCATTTGAATTGAGGGTTTTTGGCACCAGAGAGCCTTATCAGCGGCCTCCTGGAATGTCTTCAGCGAGTCACGGTAGGCATTTTTGGGGGACCCTCTGGGAGCCCAGTTCGGCCGTTCTGGATCCCTCTTCGCTCGTCATGGGGACCTGAGACCGTCTTGGGGCCCTCGGGGGGCCCTCTCCAACCATGTAGGGATCCTCCGGTGGCACCCTCGGGGTTCATGGGTACCCTCTTGGGCCGTGTTGGAGCTCTCTTGTGCTGCTTGAAGCTCTCTTCAGGCCGTCTGGGGGCCCTCTTGGGGACCTCTTGGGCCGTCTGGGGTTCATTTTGGGAGCCTCTGGAGCCGTCGCGGCCGCTGGTAGGACTAAAAAGCAAATATCCAGGATATGTACGGATTTCTATAGGACATGCTTGATTTTTACCCTTGGAAGGCCTTCTCGACGGCCTCTTGGATCGTCTTGAGTGCCTTTTGTGGTCACAAATCTTGGGCTGTCTTCGAGCGCTCGTGGCCCGTCCGGAAGCCATCTCAGTGCGCTCTTCAGCCACCTCCCAGACAACCTGGGGCGCTTTGGGCGCCTCTTGGGCCAGCTTGGGGGCCTCAGGGGGCGTCTGGGGCCCTCAAGGCCTCCCCGGCCCCCCATACGAACCAGAGGCAGCAATTCTGGGCCCTCCCCCACCCTACTCCGATATATACATATACATCTATATAATATATATATATTATATATATATATATATGAGAGAGAGAGAGAGAGAGAGAGAGAGAGAGACAGAGAGAGAGATTGAAAGAGAGAGAGAGAGAGAGAGAGCGTGATCCACCGCGCGCTTTACTGTGGAAAATTCCCCCCCTCTTCCTCCGTTAACCGGGGTCCCCCCCCTCCGAAAAACCCCCCCCCCCTCGCTGGAACCCCCCGCCCCCCCTTCCCCCGGCAACCCCCCTAACCCCTCCCCCCCGAAAACTGGGGGGGGTCACTACCGGTTCGAACCCCCCCTCCCCTCCGGAAAGCCGGGGGGTCACTACCGGTTCGAACCCCCCCCCCTCCGGAAAACGGGGGTAGTCACTAGGTTCGACACTCCCCCCCCTGAGAAAACTGGGCGGGGATCACTACCAATTCGAACCCGCCCCCCTCCAGAAAACCGGGGAGAGTCACTACCGGTTCGAACCCATCCCCCCCCCACACGTTCACCGCCGGCAGACGACTCCCGGGTCCCTACCACCGTCCGCACCACATCCCCCACCTGCTGTCCCCAGCAACACTGTCCTCACTACCAGTCCCCACTGTTCCCACCATCCCACCAGTCCCCACTGTCCCCACCAGTGCCCCCACCACTGTCGCACTGTTCCCACTGCCCCCACCTCTGTTCCCACCACGGTCCCACTCTCCCCACTTTCCCCACGGCCCCAACCACTGTCCCACTGTCCCCAGCAGTGTCCCACTGTCCCCGCCGCTGTCCCACTGAGCTGTCCCACTGTTTCCACCACTGTCCCCACCACTGTCCCCACTGTACCTCTGTCCCATTGTCCCACCGCCGTCCTCGCCACCGCCCTCACCACTGTCCCCAGCACCATTGTCCCCAGCACCACTGTCCCACTGTCCCCACCAGATTCCCACTGTCCCCACACCACTGTCCCCACACCACTGTCCCCACCACCGCCGTCCCCACCACTCTCCCAGTCCCCACCCCTGTCCCACTGTCCCCACTGTTCCCACCATTGTCCCCGCTGTCCCCACCAGTTCCCCCACCAGTGTCTCACTGTCCCCACTATGCCCACCATTCTCCCCCCACCATTATCCCACGGTCCCCACCACTGTCCCACTGTCCCCACTGTACCCACCACTGTCCCACTGTCCCCGCCGCTGTCCCACTGTGCTGTCCCACCGTCCCCACTGTTCCCACCACTGTCCCACTGTCCCCACCACTCTCCCCACTGTACTACTGTCCCACCACTGTCCGCACCACCGTCTTCACCACTACCGTCCCCACCACTGTCACATTGTCCCCACCATTGTCCCGCTGTCCCCTCACCAATGTCCCCACCACCACCATCCCCACCACTGTCCGCATCACTGTCCCACTGTCCCCGCGCCAGTGACCACCGTTCCCACCACTGCCCCAGTATCTCCACCATTGTCCAACTGTCCCGAAGAGCGGGAATTGTTTGCCGGCGGCGAAGGGGGGTGGTCGAACCAGTAGTGACCCCCCCTCTGGTTTTCGAGGGGGGGGGGCGTCGAACCGGTAGTGACCTCCCCCCTTTTCATGATGGACTGGGGGGGGAGGGGTTCGAACCGGTAGTAACCCACCTGGTTTTCGAGGGGGGAAGAAGGGACGGGTTGGGAACCCCCAGTGACCCCCCCCGGTTTTCCGCCAGCAGTGGTAGAACACGCTCTTTCATTATGCATATACATATACATATACATATACATATACATATACATATACATATACATATACATTTACATATATACATATATACATATATATATATATACATACTGATTCGCTCTTTTGGGCTCGCTCGCACTTACCCGAAAGGGCTCGATCCAGAGGATTGCGGATCACCCCCTTCGCATCAGTCAGTCAGTCAGTGTCAGTACCTACGCAAGGCGGCGAGGAGGCATGCACTCAGAACGCGCCGCCCCGCCGGTGACGGAGAAGCCAGCCTGGGAGCGGGGCTGGCCGCACCCCGGCTAGTGTCCGCCCTGCTGGTCAACCTCCGGAGCGGGGCTGACCGCGTCCGCGAGGCTCGGCCTGCCCGACCGTCTCACAGAAGTCGTTGGCCTTCGATCCCGGCAGCGCCTTCGTGAGCATGTCTGCCGGATTGCTCTCCGTCGCAACCTTCAATGCTCTAAGATGTTTGGCTGCCGCCCGCTCCTGGAGCCAGAACATGCGCGTCTGGATGCGCCGGGTGTTCTTACCCACACCTCTGCGCGCGGCCGCGGCCCTCGCGCTCGACGAGTCCGTGTAAAGCAACAGCTGTAGCTGCAAGCCCCAGTCGGCCAGGTGGCTCTGAAGCCCCAAGCCTGAGCATCCACCCTTCGTGAGGGCGTAATACTCGCTCTCGGCACTGCTCAGCCCAATGACGTTATGTACCGTGCTGCTGTGGCGCAACAGGTGCTTCCCACGCCTGAGGATGACACCTGTAGTGCTACGGCGCGAGACCGGGTCTCCTGCCCAGTCGCTGTCGACATGGGCGATCACGTCGGCGCCGATCGGGTCCAGAGCCGCGTACTGCAGCGCTCTCCTCGGCACGCCATTCAGGTAGCGTGCCAACCTCTTGAGCTGCACCATGTGGCCCGCTCGAGGCCGCGCCATGGCCTGGGACAAGCATTTGACGGACTCCGAAATGTCCACCCTGTCCTGGGACAGGTAGGCGCAGCGCATAGTCCCGCGGCGGAACCGTGTCGCCTCCTGGCCCTCGAGCGGGGCGCTCTTCTCGATGTCCTCCGCGTCCGTCGCCGTCAGCTTGACTCGCGGTGTCTTAACCGCGTTGGCTCCTTTGAGCCCGAGATCCTCCAGTAGCTGAGGAACATGGCGTTGATCGGCTTCGATCTCCATGAGGTCTGGTCCAACGACCCTGACCGTCCGGCGCAGCACCTCCAACTCCTTGTCCTGGTGCTCCTCCGCGCCGATCAGCCCGATCCGCCTCAACTCGAACTTCTCGCTCAACGTCTTCTCGAAAATGTCGATCTGGCCCTCCGCCGCCGCGACCATGAAGTCGTCTCCGTGGCAGAAACCCTTGAGGAAGTCCGAGCGGAACAATGCGGGGTTGCTAGCTCCCAGCGTGTAGCCCCTACTGCGAAGCTGTTCTCCCCACAACCGCTGCCAGGAGTTGCTCGCGTCATGCGTGCCGTACATCGTCTTGTTGAGCTTGGCCACAAAGCCTGGACGATGTGGCTCAGCCAGTGGCTGCACGTAGACGTCGCGCTCGCACGTCCCGTAGAAATGAGCTCGAGAAGCGTCGAAGACCGCAAGCGCCAACCTCCTTCCACGCTGGTCGAAGCGCTCAGTCATCACATGACTCACCAATTCCTTCAAGCTCTCGACCAGTGGCATGGCCGAGATTACATCGCTCGGCTCCAACTTCTCTTCCTCCGTTTTGGCTCTTTTGATCTCACGAACCACTAGACGTGCCCTGACCTTGTCTTCCCTTGTTCTTCAGAACCCACTTCAGCGAGCACGGGCGGCCCTGCCGCTCCTTGCACTCGCGCTCGGGCACGTAGTCGAAGAGGTTCTGCTTCAACACCCAGTCGATCTCCTCCTGCTTACCCTGCTTAACCTTGATCGGGTCCAAGAAGTTGCCCTGCTGGTCGTAGTCGTTCTCCTGCCACTCGCTCGCGTCCAGCTCCACGAAGTCGGCCGTCGGCCCGGCCGAGTACAAGCTGATCCGATCCATCTTCCCGTCGTCCACGACCTGCTTCTTGAACTCGCGCAACACCTCCTTCACCAGCCTGGGCGGATACACCGCCGCCGCGGCCGCCCTCTGCTTGCCTAGCAGACGGACGTGCCGGTGCTCTCCTGGGCATCGGCCGGCCAGGAGTGCTGCGAGTCGCGGGCTGCTCGTCGCCCACTTGATCTCCTGCCGCACGTAGCCCTGCTTCCCGAAGTCGCCCTTCGTGACCATGCCCCAGCGGCACATTGGGCCCTGGACCACGTACACTCGGCTGTCGCCGAGCAGCTCCTGCATCTCTGGCATGTCCCAGCTCGCCGAGCCTGCAGGATGCTCATGCAAGAAGTGCTGCCCCATCTGCAGCTGGCGCTTGTACGCCTCAATGCACACGCGCACGTGCTTCCTGCCTTCCTCCCTCATCTCCTCAATCTCCCCCTTGGTCTTGGAATGTTGGAGCAATGCGGAGAAAGACGTGCACGGCGGGCTGCCGATGAGAAGATCTGGTCGCTGCTCCTCCTGCATCGCCTCGAGCCTCCTCTGATCCTCCTCGTCTCCTAAATCCCAGAAGGCGTCGTCGTCGCGCTTGGCCGTCACGTCGATGAAGAAGCTCGGCTTCAACCCGTAGCTGGTGGCCATGCTCGTGAACCTGTTGGGGCTGTAGGTCTCCGCGATGGCCGCCCCCGACAGTTCCGTCGCCACACGCGCTAACGACCAAACCTCCACGCTCGACAACCCTATTGCTGCCGCCGATCGTGCGATCTTAACCGCCACGCGCGGCACCAGCTCCAGCTTACTCGCGCTCATGTCGCTGTCTGCGGCGCCCGCCGCCTGAGCGTTCGGACCAGCCGGGCTGGCCATGGGAACACCCCCATCGATGTGGTCCGGCGCTGGAGCGGCGCTGACCGCATCCGTGCTCGGACCTGCGAGGATCCCTCCAGAGCCCGAGCTGCTGCCTCCCTCCTGAACCTCAAGCGCCGTCGGAACGTCGCCCCTCGTCGCGTCGCCCAGCTCCCCAGCCGACCTCTTTAGCCCTCTAGGCTCCTCTACTCTCCTCTTGGGAGATGCTCTCACGGCTGCCTCGCTTCTCCTACGGGGAGAGCCCGGCGCCGTCGCCTCAGCGCCCGGCGCAGGAGCGGGGCTGACCGCGTCCCTCGCCCTGGCGCTACCTCTGGCTGCCGCGGAGCGGGGCTGACCGCGTCCCTGGCGCCTCCTCCAGCTGCCGCGGGAGCGGGGCCGACCGCGTCCCCGGCCCTGGCACCTACTCCTCCGGCTGGCGCGGAAGCGGGGCTAACCGCTTCCCCTGCCGGCGCCCCACTGCCGCCGGCCTGCGCTCTAGCATCTCGCCGAAGCCTATCCTGGTGCAGGCGATGCTGCACTCCAGCATCAGCATCTCGCGCCATAAGCTCGTCCATGCGCGACCTGCACTCGTCCGTGTGCCTCTGCTGCACTCTCTGCGCCCCCGACGCTAGATCGTTGCGCGCCTGGCACCCTGGCGTCGGCCCATGCCGCGCCACGTCCTGCCGAAGGATGCATCGCCGCCTCTGCTGCTGAGGCGCTGGCACTCCCGCTGGAGCTGCCACCACGGCCGCCGGTGCTGCCGCCGGCGCCGCCTCTGGCTCTTCTCCTTGAAGTTTCCAAGGCGCCCCTCGGCACTTCCTGATGTACTCGTTGTCCCACTGCTGGTCCGGCGTCTTCCGCTGAACCCTGGTGCCTCTCAACAGACCTCGGTCTGACAAGAACAACGCAGCGCCTGTGCGCTCATGAAGGCCCACGAATATGCCATCAAGCATCCTCTCCACGTCGCCTGCCGCTCGCGCCTCGCGCCGCGCCGCGACTGGATGAAATTTCGCCCTCTCGCCAAACTCGACCACTTGGCGCCTCCAGCGCCGCCCAGTGCGTCGCTGATCTGGCGCCCTGCCGTCTGCCTGCACCCTGTATCGCGACAAGCAGTTCGCCGCATGCCTGACCAGCCACGTCGCCAGCGGCTCGGTCCACTCCTGTGGCCGGCCCAGCCTCTGCTCAAGATGGCTCTTCAGGACTCTCGTCTGCGCCTTAACTTCGCGAGCGGCTACCTCTGCTAGCCCGTTCGCCGCGTGATCCCCTTCTGGGCACGCCTGCTCTATCACTTCCACGCCCTCCAGGTTCATGGCCGCTGCCCTCAGGAGCGAAAGCAAAGCCCGCTCGTTGTCGGACCTCATGATAAGACGCTCCCACCCTAAGCTACGTTGCCAACCAACGATGAAGGAGAGCGCGTAGGCATCCACGCCCTTCGCTGGCACCTGGGTAGCCGCCAGGCACCCTGCGCGCTTGCATTTGCAACGCAGTAGCGCCACCTGCGAGCCTTCTGGGCCCACGCACGCGTAGTCCGCCCCAACCTCCGGAAGCTCGCCCTCAGGAGCTCCAGCATGGGACGCCGCACGCCCGCGTCCGCTGACGCAGTGCTCGCACCACGATCTGAAGGCTGCATGGCCTGTCGCGTAGTGCTCCTCCTACTCAGCCTGCGATGGCTTCGGAGGCACCGGTGGCATTCTCGGTGCTACAGCCTCCTCGCCACCATCGGGAGGCGCACCCTCCGGGCTTACGGCATCGCCTGCCGGCGGCCCCCCGGCGGAGGCGCAGATCCCGAGGATGGGCTGGCATCCCCCAAAATCGCGCCCGCAAGCGCTCCCGGGACGTCCACCTCCATGTCGTTCGGACTCACGTCGATGGTGTCGTCGCCGCCGCTGGTGCCGTTCGGAGTGCCCGTCTCCACCTGCACGTAGAGGTTGTAGACACCTCGCTCCTTGTTCAGCTCGATAACGCCGCCCCAAGAGTACTTGCTGAAGACGGCCCGCATCTCGTCGGGGATCGGCGAGCCGCGCTGGAAGATGTAGCCCGCGTCGCCGTCCAGCCACACTGCGTGGCCCTTGTCCGTCACGTCCCCGACGCTCAGGAGCGGCTTGTGGACGGAAGTCTGTTCGCCCACCATCTGGAGATTGTGACCCCAAGCATCCACCCCTCGTATCTTGAACCTGCCCTGGCCCTCAACCAGCTCACCAGTGGCAATCCGGTGAGTCCTGCCCGATAATCCAGGAGCGCGCTCGCCGGCGTAGTCGGCGTCAGCCGGCCAAACCGTGCCTCCCGCTCCAGTGTCCACGTTGATGGCAACCCACTTCACGTGGGATGGCGCGCGCGCGGCGGGAGCGGGGCTGACCGCATCCCAAGCCGCGCACAAGTCCACCGTGCTCACGGCAACGGAGGGCTCAGGTGGTGCTGGCCACGGAGTTGCCGATATCGTCGTAGGTCCAGCGGCGAGCTGGTTCCAGCTCGCCGCCGCCGGCGAGTCCCAGGAGTCCCACTCCAGCGCACCGGCATCCCTGGACTTGTACTTGCCCTTAATTACCTTTGCCCTTGTTGTCATTGCTCTTGCCCTTGCTGCTCTGCTGCTGGTGGTGTTGGTGCTGCTGCTGCTGCTGCCACTGCTGCGGCTTGCTCCAGCAGTCCTTACTGATATGGTCCGACTTCCCGCAGTTCCAGCACTGCTTGAGGTTCAACTGCTGCTTCTGTCCTGCTCCTGCTCCTGCTTGTCCTCCTCCTTGCTGCTTGTACTTCCCCTTGCCGTCCTTGCCTTTGTATTTGCCTTTGCTCTTGCCTCCTTTCGGGGCGCCCTTGTTGAACTGGCCCACGTCCATCGGGTCGTCCTTCCTGCTCTCCTGCGGCCTCCCTACCTGGCCTAGCTTGGGCGCGACATAGCCCCGCGCCTCGGCGTACAGGATCACCTCCTCGCGCAACTTCGCGTAGGTGTCCAGCCGGGCCCTCTGAAGCTGGCAGTGCTTCTCGAGGTCCTCTGGGAGCAGCGCCTCCAACGCCGCCATCCTGATGCCCTCTGCAAGGTGGTGGCGTTCGCCGGTCCGCGCGTCGCGCCGGAGGGCGTACCGGCGCATCAGATCCTCCAGGCGCTCGACGGCTCCCTGGAGCTCGGCGAGCTTCGCTCGCCCTGGAGACAGGATCTCCCGGAGCAAGCCTCTCGCCCGCCCGGTGGTCAGGGGATCCTACCGGCGATGGAGCCTCCTCCATGACTCCAGTCCTTCTCCTGACCCTGCTCCTACTATGATGTCGAAGCTCTCGCCCTCCACCAGGCTCATCAGCACCGAATAGAGCTGCTCCGACAACTCCTGCGCGGTGGCCTCCTCCATGTCCAGGTCGTCGCTCGCCGCCGCGGTGGCTGCAGAGGCCGCCGTCCCCGGGTCGAGCTCCACGGCCCACGCTAGAACCTCGCGGGCGCCAGGGAAGACGCTCGCCACGAAGTTCTCCGTCCGCCGGGCCCACGCCACGAACTCCTGCTCGGAGTTCTTGAGCGGCAGGAGCCTGCCTAGCCCCTTCGTGTCGATGAGGCTGCCTCGAGCCCTCGAGCGCTGGCTCGCCGCCGCCTCCACTGCGGCGGAGACCGTGCCCGGCAGCGCGGCAAGCGCCTGCGGTAGCCCGGCCAGAGCGGCGACCAGGTCCTGCTGCTGCGCCGCCTGCTGCTGCATCGCCCCCATCGCCTGGTTCAGGCGCTGGTTCTGTGCCCGGAGCTCCGCGAGCTCCGCGCGGATCTCTGCCTCCGCCATCTCGATGGCTCAAGCCCTGTTGCTCCCCAACTCGGGCGTCTGTACCCCGCAGTTCGCGCTTCAGCCTTCGTGCTGCCGAGCGACCGCCCCTCGCCTGGGGCATACACGGCCAGGCACCCTGCCTGGCTGAGCGGGAGCGGGGCTAACCGCGCCCCGCGCGCTCTGGAGGTGCGGGGCTGACCGCAACCTCCGAGCACCCTGCCTGGCTGCGCGGGAGCGGGGCTAACCGCGTCCCGCGGGCTCCGGAGGTGCGGGGCTGACCGCAACCTCCGAGCACTCACGCTCCTGCTACCATGATTCGCTCTTTTGGGCTCGCTCGCACTTACCCGAAAGGGCTCGATCCAGAGGATTGCGGATCACCCCCTTCGCATCAATCAGTCAGTCAGTGTCAGTACCTACGCAAGGCGGTGAGGAGGCATGCACACAGAACACATATACATATACATATACGTATACGTATACGTATACGTATACGTATAGGTATACATATACATATACATATACATATGCATATACATATACATATACATATACATATACATATACATATACATGTACATGTACACATACATATACACATACATATACATATCCATCCATCCATACATACATACATACACACATACATACATACATACATACATACATACATACATGCATGCATACATACATACATACACACATACATGCATACATGCGCACATACATATTTACATACATGCAAACAAACATACATACATACATACATACATGCATCCATACATACATGCACTCACACATACATACATCCATACATACATATATACAAATATACATACATACATACTTACATACATACATACATACATACATATATACATGCATGCATGCATGCATGCATGCATGCATACATACATACATACCTACCTACCTACATAAATACATACATACGTACATACATACATACATGTATGCATGCATGCATACATGCATACATACACGCATACAAACATACATACATAAGTACACACATACATACATACATGCATACATACATGCATGCATGCATACATACGTACGTACACAGGAATCTGAACATACACGCGCGCAGACACATGGAATGGGCAATCGATAGAGAGAGAGGAGGGCGAGAGAGTGAGAGAGAGAGAGACACACCAACTGGTTTCCAATGGGCCTCTATGGATTCCACTAGAAGGCTCCTATTAAAGGCCTCTATGGGTTTCCAGATAGGCCCAACCATATGCAGTTGTGGGTACCGCAATTGTGAACATCTGTTTCGGTGGAACTCCCTATGGGTCCACGAAGCGCTGCACTGGGTGGCGGGGAACGCATGCGGGCGGTAGAACTGGGGCCGTCGGGCGAACTCCCTATGGGGCCACGAAACGCCGTACTGGGTGGGGTGTAAATGCCAAATTTGGTGTGGGACGCATGCGGGCGGTCCCACTGGTGGCTTCGGTGGAGCTCCCTATGGGGCCACGAAACGTATGAGGAGTGTGCCACATTTCCGTCGGGCGAACTCTCTATGGGGCCACGAAGCGGCGTGCTGGGCGGGGAAAACATGCAAAACCTGGTGTGTGGGACGCATGCGGGCGGTCCCAGTGGTGGCTTCGGTGGAACTCCCTATGGGGCCACGAAGCGTATGAAGGGTGTGCCAAATTTGGTTTCCGGGACGCATGCGGACGGTCCCACTGGGGGCTTCGGTGGAGCTCCGTATTGGACCACGAAGTGTTGTACTGGGTGGGCGAAAATGCCAAATTGGGTTTCCGAGACGCATGCGGACGGTCCCACTGGGGGCTTCGGTGGAGCTCTCTACTGTTCCCTGGACGATGACGGCGACGAAGTAGATGGTGCTCTTTCCTGGCTGAACCCTGACTCGGCAACCTCCCAGTCGTCCGTCTATCAACACGGTGACCCTGCAGGTGTATACAGGAAGGGAAAAGGAGATGATGGGGAAGGTATGGGAATGGGTCGGATCGGGCTTAGTGAAGAGAGAAAAAGACTTGAGCCAGAGTGGTTATGGTCCGGTCCCCTCATCTGTAAACACTCTCAAGCTCAAGGACTTTGTGAACTCACCAAAGTCATACGCCAGAGGCACTCAAACGCACAGTGCCCCGAAAAAGAGTGAGCTTGAAGTGACGAGGACCAGACCATTCACTCTGCCTGGAGGGTCATCTGAAATCAGTGAAACAGGATGTGGCACAAGGGACTCCGTCCTCGTACCCGGCAACTCTCTCTTGCGCCGGCGACAACAGCGTACTTGGAGCGCGAGGTCGCTCCTCTCTGGCCAGATGGCGTTCCTAGAAAGGCAGTCGCCGGCGCTGTGAGAGTCGGACGCAGAGGCAAAATCGAGAGAGCTCCTCTAGCGCTGATCGCGCCGTGGAGCCCTCATCGGCTGCGTCTCTGGGAGTGTCCAGAGCAAAGAGGCAGAAGAAGACAGCGCACCGTGGGGAGGCCTACTGGAGCTGTCGCCTCGATTCGGCTCTGGAACGCCCCTTGGTCCTGGGGTCCACTTTTCTTTCCTGGATGGCGGACTCCTCCGCCGATAGGCGAAGCATGCCTGACTTGAGCATGGTCAACTGAGCGGCATTAGTCTTGGCTAGATCCGATTTGGCCATGCAGTCTACAGGCATCAGCGGATGCGGCATCCATCGGATCGCGCTTCCGATTTTCTCCATAGATGTCCTGACCACCGCTAAGTCTATGGCCGCCCGCCGGTCCGACTTGGACCCCGCCGTGAGCTTTGAGAGCGTGTCGTATATACCCTCTGCGTCGACCACGCTCAGGTTCCCGGACTGTGGCTCCCCAAGAACCTGGCACTCGTCCTTTAAGATGGCGACGAAAGGACCTATGTGCTCTCTCCACCTTTCGTGGACCACGTTTCCTCGAACTACATCCAGCAACAAGATTTGAAGCCATTCGGCCTCTCCTAGAGCGCTGGACAATGAAAGAGTCTCCCCAGCGAGGGTGGAAGATACCTGTCGCCTGACTTTCCCAGACCTCCACGCAATCGGAGTGACGCGGGCCCGTGACCCGTGGGCCAGGGAATTGTCGGCAACATATATCTGCCACGCTTCCTGAGGATGCTGCAGACCATCTTTGTCCTCCGCCCCCACTCCACCGCAATCGCTGGCAGTCGCCAGGACGAATCCGTCCGGCTTGAAACGCCGCACGATGACGGGAAGCGAGGCCGTCGAGCGTAGATGATCCACCATCTTGTTGGCATCGAGCAGGTCGCGAACGCAAGGGCGATTGACCTTCGTGGCTAATATGGAAGCCGCGCCGGCGGCCTCTGCCCTGGTCTCGCGACCTACCCACTGCAGCTTATAGACGAGGGACCTAAAGGCTGCTACTTCCCCTCCTAGCAGAGGGGCCCCGTGGTCTCCTTTCCTGCCTCGGGCCAGAGGGATCTTCTGGAGCTGCTCTAAAATGTATTTTTCTTGATCCACCAGAATACGATCCCCGTCTAACCTCAATCTCCTCCCGATGCACTCCACCCCTTCCGCGTCCAGTAGACGCATCTTCCCAAAAGTAAACCTGGACTTGAAGGGCTTGATGTACTGATCCTCTGACCCGGGCTTGAACGCGATGGCCCAGTCGTCGACTTCGACGAGCACTTGGGCCTCCAGCCCGCGGTCGGAGCGCTTCACAAACCAGCAGGGCTCTAACTTGGTCCGCTCGAAGCCCTGAGTGTGCATGAAATTCGCTGCGGTGCGGTGAAAGGCTAACGGGGCATCATCAAGGCCGTAAACTGGGGCTATGAGCTCGATGAGAGATCCTGGCGGTACTGGCACCCCGTCGCATGGCTCGACGAAAACCCGACCGCGAGCCCTTTTCAAGGGCTCAGATTGGCAAAACGCGTTCTTGATATCGCCAATGTATATCGTTAATTTATACATGAGCGCAACCACCAAAAACAGCATAAGAGCTTCCATACAGGGGGTTGGGGCGTAGACCTGGAGCTCGCATGTGTCCTCATCTTGGTGCCCACGAACACACCACCTAGATTTAGCCTTAGGTTTAGCAAACGTCCCCTCTTGTGGTTTCCACCTTCTCACCATGCGGCAAGACACGATTCGACTCGGGAAAAGCCTCCTAAGCTCTTTCGCCTTGTCCGGAGGATGGACGATGACGGCCCTAGTCCCCTCAGCTATGGCCTTCCACTCGGCCGAGTCCGAAACGTCGAACTCTTTCTTTTCCTCGGAGTTCAGGTTTTTGTAGTGGACCTCGGCTCCCCGGTTGGTCAAAAGCGAGAGGGAACAATCGCCAGACTCGTGAGGAACTATCTCCACATCGGCGTTGCCGTTGGAGTAGGTGATCCAGGATCCGCTCCAGCCCTCCTCCTGGAGTCTTTGGTCCAGGCCTTAAAAAACGGCTCCAGGGCCCGGGCCGCTGCTGGAGCAGGCCTCAAAGAACGCGTCAGCCACGACAGTGGCCTCCTCGGGTCCTGAAGCAGCAAAGGTGTCCACAAGAGCCGTGCTCGAGGGAGGACCCGATGAACGAGGTCCGGTATGAGGATGCTGTGGCACCGATTCTAACTCTGAGATCTGCTGCTGAACTCTACCCGCTGGAGTCCCCCGGAAAGTTTCTCCTGGAGTGAGCCTGGACAATCTATACCCGTCTAACTGTCGATTGTGCCTCACAGCTTCCTGCATCTCGCGCAAGATCCGACCGGGGTCTGAATCGGCATTACGATGTTGGCTCGCTGTATCGGCTATGCTCAATCTCCGAGGATTGATGGGTGGAGCCGCTTCGATAGCGCCACTGGACGGCTCGGGCAACTCTCCGGAGGAAGCGGCCCCCGGCTCTATGGCGCGCCCTCTCTTCTCTCCCTGTGGTGGAGGAGGAGGCCTTCGTCGCGTGCTCCTGCCCGCGGCGCCGTCTCTCTCCGACGCGGTGCGGGACACCGCGCCTGACGGTACGAGAGAGTCCCTTGACTCGGATCGAGACAGAACCCCGGAGTCAGCTGGATCAGAGGAGACTTCCCTGGACATTAGACCTCCCCCTGGCCCGGGATCCCTGGTGTCATCTGAGGGAGCCACCTCTTCTCCCTCCGGAATGGGAGAGAGTCCCGGAGGAGCCTCGAGAGCAGGACCCTCTCGCCCCGCTCTGCCCCCTCGGGGGTCCTCTTCCGTTCCAGAAGGAGGCTGAGGTGATTGCTCGAGCGATTCTCCGGCGGCCGCCCCTGAGTCTCTCTCTAGATCAGGAACGTCAACTCCAGGACCGTCTTCCATTGGTCCCCCCAGGTCCCAGGCTTCCGGAGGAGGAGGGCCTTCGGAGGCCACGTTGGTCCCCGCTCGGTGGCCACTGACTTGGGCCTCTCTGAGAAGCTGTTGAATGGCGGGATCCGCCATAACTTCTCCCCCCCTGGATTCTTCCGTGTTCGCTGGCCTGACTTGCTCCGACGAGCATTTCCAGAGCCTCGATCGCATGGCGACCCATATGGTCCCACCGTTTTGAATCACGACGAGCCCGGGGCCAACCCACCTGTCCTTTTGTAAGGTGTAGGTCTTTTGTCCCCCCTTTGGCGCTCTGCGCCACACGTAGACCCACTGTCCCGGCACGAAATGCTTGTCCCGATGGGTGGGCGCCTTGACAGCGCTGGCCAACTTCTTTAAACTGGAACTCTCAAACAGCTCCTTGCGAGCATGCCGGCGAATGGCATCTCGCCTCGCAAACTCCGCTGACGCGGTGTCTCGGCCCCAGGACCCGGGAGATAAATCTTCGACTCCAACGACCTGAATCGGATCGTCGGCCAAGATATCGTTGGGAATCCTGGGGTTTATCCCGAAAACGAGTTGATAGGGAGTGAGCCCCCCCCGGTGCAGGTATCTGTTCTTGGCCGCGGTGACCTCGTGAACCAGTGTTTCGAAATCCGGCGCCGTGGTGACGAGAGTCGTCTCGGAGGCCTTGAGCAGAATTTCTTTCACCCATCCTCCGTGCCTTTCTGCCCTGCCGTTCTGCCAGGGGCTCTCGGAGTCCGTGATATGGTGAAATATCCCTAAATGTTCCACCCCCCTCTCGAACTGTCCCTTGAACTCGGGACCGCCATCTGTGATGGCGAACACTGGCGGGCCGAAAGGTCTTACCCAGGCACGCATGAACGCTCGCCAAGCGCCGAGAGCCGTGCCGTCGTAGAGCTCCACAACCTGAAAGTTTGTCCCGTGACATATAACGTTGAGAAAGGCCAGCTGTTGGTCCTTGAACGTAAGGAGAAACGTGTCAAGGGCAATGATTTTGTTGAACTCAAACGTCCTCGGGACCGCGGCTGGCCGACTAGCGGCCGCCCTGGAATGGGCCTGACAGTCCCCGCACGCGAACTCGTCCCGGACGTATCGCAAAACCTCTGGCTTCGCCTGGGCCGCCTTGAGTAGGTTGAGAAAGACGTCTTTGTGGGGGTGAGCTAAGTTCACGTGAACTTTGTGTATCATACGCTTCACCGGGGCTGTGATGACGAATTTCTCGTCTTCAGGCCCCGGACCTTCCTCGGCTTCCGCTTCCTCGCCCTGTTCGTCGTCAGGGCGGGCGTCCTCGCTCCCTCCGGCTGCCGCCTCGTTAGGGCTGGGAGCCTCCCCAGTCCCCGTAGGAAAGCATAACCCCCCCGGCGGCTCAACTAAGAGCTGGTACTGTGGTCTTCGGACCACTCTAACTTCCTCTGGGGTGGGGCCCGGGTGAGTGTTTTCCACGCTGGACCTGATAGCCTCGGCCAGGGCCCTCGCGAACTTTGGCGGGTAAACGCGAGCCTTCGACGTCATTCCTCCCCCGATCAACTGAGCGTGCACGTGATCCCCGGAACACTTGGCGGAGAGAAAACGGTCCAGGAACCGGGGGCAGTTAGACATCAAACGCGTCGGCTTTCGAGACAGGTCTCCGCTCTTGTCGACACTGAGACCGAAGTAGCACATATCTATATTTGTGTGTCCTACCCCTTCCAGTCCCAAAATGTGCTGAACGGCCTGGGTCGACCAGGAGGATGCACCTGAGGGGTGCTCAAAGGCGAACTTGCGGCCGCCTTCGACCTGTATCATAGCGATCTCCATGGCAAAACCTAGGAGAAGCAGTGCCTCGGCATCCTTCTGCCGCTGCCCTTCGGTCATCTCCCGATGAGCATAAGCGTTCCTGGATATCGAAAATGGGCCACAAGGAGGTTCCAGGAGGACCATCCAGGGCTCCTTCTTCCTCACCAAGGCTTCAAACTTGTCCCGATCCCCTTTCCTGGTGGAATCCCAACCTCCCTCCTTATCAAAGCTGCCTAGACAGAAGATCCCGGCGTGCTGAGCAAACCGCGCCACCCGCGGAGGAGAAAAGACCTCCATGAAGGCCCGATTCCGCAGGTGGGTCCTGAAACACTTAGTAAGCTTATATCGCTCGGAGATGCCGGAATCTCTAAGCATGTCTTTCCTTTGACGTCGGGTCATCACAACTTCTGATTCGTCGGAAAAAGGATCATGAAAGATGGCGTCATCGAGCTCTGGACACACGAATCGAACCTTCCCGTTTTCTTCCCCTTTCCATTCGATATCGAAGTGGTCCTGAAAGGCCTGACATCTTTCAGAGGCTACTTCGAAGAGACTGCTGAGATTGGCGTCCCCGGTCCTGGTACTGGCTTTCTCGGATCCCGGGGCGCTCTGGACAGCGCTCGAGATCGGCTCTACCGCTTCTGGCCGCCCTTGTCCCACCTCTGGTCGCCGCTGTTCCAGCCGTCCCACGACTTCCACCCCGCTGCCGTCCAGCCATCCCGCGCCAGACGGTCCTTGTCGCGCTTGGCCGCCTCCTCCGCGTCCTTCCGGCGCTGGTCCCGCGCCTGCTTCTCCTCGGGCGACTCCTTCCAGGGATCTCCGTGCTCGGCAGAGGGCCTCGAAAGGTGAGAAGGTCGCTTCTGCGGAGCTGCCGCTGCCAACTGTTGTGAAGGCAAGGCCGATCCTGGGAGATCGATACTGCTGATCGTGGTAGAAGACAACAGGTTGCCCCTCTGGTCCATCAGGCCCGTCGGGTTGTCCGGGCCCTTGCCGTGACCTTTCGCCTGTCCCTGCGGCTCCTGCAAGGGTGGTGCTGCCGCGTAGCTCGGGTAGGCGGCAACCAACGGCGCGGTCGTGATCATCTGGAAGGACGCCTCTGGTGGAACCTGCTGCGTTGCAAGATGTGGGGTCGTAGCTATCGACGTCTGGTGTCCTCCGTCGGGTGTCCCGATGTAGTGGTGAGGAACTCCTCCACGAGCGCCCGGTCCACTGGGAAGGACTGAGGGAACGCCTCCGCCACCGTTGGGAAGAACCACTGAGGCGAACCCTTTTCCCGGCATTGCTGGCTCTGCCATCGCCGATGGGATTGGTTTTGCTGGGCCTGGCTGCATCTCCTGCTTCGATCCTGGCTGCTGCGACGATTGTCCCGGTGACTTCGACTGCTGCTCCTTGATCGAGGACTGCTCCTTGACCGGGCTCTGGGCCTGCATCTGGGACTGGAGCAGCGCCATCGCGTGCATCTGGCCGGATGTCACCTTCGTCAGCTGGCTGATCGCGTTATGCTGTGCCTCCTGCTTGGCGCTCATGTCCCTCAACATCTGCATCACCTCTGAGAGATCCTCGCCGTTCTCTGGCTTCCGACTGCGCGGCTCCCGAGGAGTAGCTGGCCCTGACGCTGCCGCTGCCGCTGCGACCTCCTGTCGTTGGAGCTGCTTCTTGCGACGCAGGTCGCCCTCCGCCTCGCTCATCACCCAGTCCGCCCGGTCGGCCTCGCTCGCTCGGGTGTAGTGCTGAGCGGCTCCCGACTCGGCCTGGGCTGGCCATGGCGGTGGCACTCCAGCGGGCGTGACCCCGCGAGTGCCGGGCGGCGGCGCTGGAGCGGCCACTAGAGCCCGCCATTCTGGGTCTGCGCCCTTCTGTTGAGCGAAACCCCGCCCACAGAGCGAGCACGCCGCAGTCCTGCGCTTGCACAGACATGTCACGTCTGGCTCCTTCTTCGTCTTGTCTGGCTTCTTGTCGAGGTAACCAACTCGCATGGTACAGCCCGAGCAGACCCACCAGGCACCATATCCATTGCAGCCGTAGTCGACGCTGATCGGGGGATGCCAACAAGTATAGTAGGCCTGGGGCACGACCTTCAGCGACTTCGGCAGGTTGGTGGGCCAGAATCTGCGCGTCACCATCATGCGCCCAAACTCGTCGGCGAGCTTGTTGAGCCAGAACATGGTGCTGCCGACCATGCATGCCCAGCTGCGCTGAGCCTTGTTGAGGTGGTCCGGTACTGTCGTGCCCGTCACAGCGTATGTCCAGGTCGTGTCGGTGCCGGCCACCTGCTCGGCCATGGTGGCCGGGCGCCTCTCGCGAAGCTGAGCCTCGGTAGGTTGCGCCTTCCTCGGCATCGCGACTGCTGATTCCTGAGAGCTGTCGTACTCGGTGGTGTGCGCGGACAGCGTCGTCGAGATCGAGATTGGCCCAGATGCTTGAGCCAAGGAGCTGCCCGAACGCGAGCGACGTCAATAGACAACCCACTCTCCACGTGCTGCTTCTCGACCGGGCCTCCGATCTGGACCAGGTCGCGCTTGTGGTGCTGCTCTTTCCTACTTCCTTTCCTGATGCGTCTCCCTTAGTGTGGCGGTGACCCGATCCAGATCGAAGATCCGACATCTGACGGTGCTTGCTTTCCCCGAACGGCGTCCTCGACCCCTCCGGGTCTTCCGGAACGCCCAAGCTAGAAACGGTGGGACTCGGTCCCAGGACCCTAGGGTCGCCACGGCCAGACTCGGCTAGGCCCCCTCGGCCTCCCTGGTCGCTGCTGGAGGTGAGGTAGAAGGGTGTGTACTTTCCCGAGCTGCCTGAGCGGCCACAGTCGCAGTGAAAATCACTCTCTTTCAGCGAAGGATGCCGCTGAAAGACCGCCTCTGGGCACTTGAAATCGGCGCCCGAGGCTTGAAAGTCATCAATTCTGATGGTGCGATGCCCACTGGGCAGACGATTCATGCCTACCTTGACTCCTAAACGCTTGAGGTCCATGGTGTTTTCTTCCAAATCGATCTTGGACCCCAGCATTTCTTGAAATCCTACGGGGAGGAGAGGCGGGACGTCCTCCTGAAGGACATCTAGCTCGATGATTCCGGACTTTCCCTGGATCCCCGTGGGAATGAGGGCTGTGTGAAGCACCCTCGTGCCTCCGCCCACTCCCCGAGCTGACGGGTTCCGAGGAGCCACGAGAGGGACCCTGAGGCCCTTTCTCCTCAAAACTTCTACATGCCGGCTCAAAGAAGGCTTTCCGATCAGCCCCTGTCCTGCCGCGGTGTCCACCACCGCCTCCCCGGGCGGGACGGTGAGAAGCACCAGCTCGTCCTGCTGCTGTCGCTCCTGGCCGCTGGACACGTCCTCCGGGGCGTTGGGGTCGACCACGTTTGCGTACACGTAGCCGGTGACGAAAGACGCCGCCCCTCCTCCGGTTGCACTGGCGCTGTGGCTCTGGCCGTTCCGGTCTGGACATTCGCGTGACCAGTGGCCCTTCTTGCCGCAAGACCTGCACTTGGTCCTCTTGATCAGCTCCGCGAGAGGTAGTCGATTGCGTCTGGGTCGATGCTCTCCTTTCGCCGAGCGATGTCCCCTGTTGAACTTGCTCTTGTCGCCGCTCTTGATGTCGTTCTCTTTCGAGCGGTCGAAGAACTTACGGTCCACTGTGAGCTTCCTCTTCAAGTCGCGGTTCTGCTTCCATGTCTTGCGCCTGTCCTCTTGCATGGTGTTGAACACGTACTTGAGCTCATCGTCGTACAGGTCCATCTTGTCCAGCGCTACATATATCTCTGCCTCACCCTCAGTGTCCAAAGAGGATACGTCGTCCCAGTCGAGTAGAGAGTCCGTGTCCTGGTCGTCAACGGAGTTGGGCTCATGAACAGGGAAACTTGATTTGACGACCTCCGACTGCTCGACGTGGTAGGCGCGAGATCGGTGATTGCTAAGATGTTCCCGCCAGGTCACGTCCATCTCTCGGAGGGCTGCCAAGGCTTCTTTGTAGGAATCCTTTGTCTTCATCTGAATCTTCATCAACTGAGTACCTCTCTCGTCCAGTCCAGCTCCCTCTTCCAAGAACATATATTTCCAATCATCTGGTAGAGGAAGCCCGAGGGTACCGACCTTGTCGAAAGCCAGGTCCAACCTTGCTGCGTACTCAGTGAGTCCTTCTCCTTGCTTGCGTTGAAACGAGAACAAGCATTCACGTCCTGCTTTACGCTTCTCGTCTCCGACTCGTTCTCCCGAGAGCAGATCCAGCCTGGCTATGACCTTGTCCGCTCCGTTGTCTGATATCAGATCCTCGTCGGCGATGTCTTCCAGCTTCCGCTGCAAGTCGATCGGTAGCAGCTTCATGATGCGGTCCGCGTGCTTGTGTGTCTCCACATCTGTCGTCTGCCGCCATCGCATCACCTTCCGCCGCCATAACTTGAACTCTGACCAGCCGGGCCACGCCTCAGGATCGGCGAAGTCCCTCCCGCGCCTCTCGTCGGTCTTCCACTTCTCGGTCCCCGACGCCTCGCCCCACTTGCTGCCGTTCCAGTCGCGGCTCTGCCAGTAGTTCGACTGCCATTCGTTCGACGTGTCTCTCCAGCTGTCGAACCTGTCCTGCCAACCGTTGGAGTGATCCTTCCAGCTGGCGTACTTGTCTGTCCAACTGCTTGAAGCCTGGCTCCACGGATCTTGTCCGTCTGACTGCCAAGGATCTCGTTCTCCTCGTGGAGCTGAACTGGCGGCAGCTGCGTCGCCTACTTTGCTCCAACGTGCCGACGAGTTCCATGACAGCTGGTCGTCTCGTTCGTCTCCTTGGCCATTCTTGGTGTTGTCCGCGTCCGCCGTGGCCTTTGAGCTTACGCCCTGACCGGCACTCGACGCTTCTGTCACCATGAGACTCCTGGCCTGCTCTAGGAACGTACGCATTTGTTCCGCTGTGATGTGGAACTGTCCGTCCTCGTTCTGCCACTGTTGCGCGATCTCTATGACCTGCTCGATAGACTCCTGGCCACTGCTCCGAGTGCCGCCATTCGAGTTGTCACCATTCTCCGCTTCCGTCATGTTGTTGTCCGCAGATCGACCGAAGCGTCCTCAGACGCTCCGCTACCACTGTTCCCTGGACGATGACGGCGACGAAGTAGATGGTGCTCTTTCCTGGCTGAACCCTGACTCGGCAACCTCCCAGTCGTCCGTCTATCAGCACGGTGACCCTCCAGGTGTATACAGGAAGGGAAAAGGAGATGATGGGGAAGGTATGGGAATGGGTCGGATCGGGCTTAGCGAAGAGAGAAAAAGACTTGAGCCAGAGTGGTTATGGTCCGGCCCCCTCATCTGTAAACACTCTCAAGCTCAAGGACTTTGTGAACTCACCAAAGTCATACGCCAGAGGCACTCAAACGCACACTACGGGGTCACGAAACGCCGTAGTGGGTGGTGTGAAAATACCAAACTTATGTTTCATGGACGCATGCGGGCAGTCCCACTGGGGGCTTCGGTGGGGCTCTCTATGGGGCCACGGAACGCCGTACTGGGTGGGTGAAAATGCCAAATTCGATTTCCGGGACGCATGCGGACAGTCCGAGGGGCTTCGGTGGGGCTCTCTATGGGGCCACGAAGCGCTGTACAGGGGGGGGGACGCATGCGGACGGTAGCACTGGGACCTTCGGTGGGGCTCCCTATGGGGCCACGAAGCGCTGTACTGGGTGTGGGGGACGCATGCGAACGGTAGTACTGGGACCTTCGGCGGGGTTCCCTGCGGGGCCACGGACGCTGTATTGGGCATGGGGGACGCATGCGGACAGTATCACTGGGACCTTCGGTGGGGCTCCCCATGGGGCCACGAAGCGCTGTACTGGGTGGGGGGACGCACGCGGACGGTAGCACTGGGACCTTCGGTGGGGCTCCCCTATGGATCCACGAAGCGCTGTACTGGGTGGGGGGGGGCGCATGCGGACGGTAGCACTGGGACTCGGTGGGGCTCCCTATGGGGCCAAGAAGCGCTGTACTGGGTGGGGGGGGGACGCATGCGGACGGTAGCACTGGGACCTTCGGTGGGGCTCCCTATGGGGCCACGAAACGCTGTACTGGGTGGGGGGGACGCATGCGGACGGTAGCACTGGGACCTTCGGTGGGGCTCCCTATGGGGCCACGAAGCGCTGTACTGTGGGGGGACGCATGCGGACGCACTGGGGTCGGTGGGGCTCCATATGGGGAAACGCTTGGGTGGGGGGACGCATGCGGACGGTAGCGCTGGGACCTTCGGTGGGGCTCCCTATGGGGCCACGAAGCGCTGTAATGGTTGGGGGGGACGCATGCGGACGGTAGCACTGGGACCTTCGGTGGGGCTCCCTATGGGGCCACGAAGCGCTGTACTGGGTGGGGGGGGACGCATGCGGACGGTAGCACTGGGACCTTCGGTGGGGCTCCCTATGGGGCCACGAAGCGCTGTACTGGGTGGGGGGGACGCATGCGGACGGTAGCACTGGGACCTTCGGTGGGGCTCCCTATGGGGCCACGAGACGTGTGAGAGGTATGCTGAAACGGGTGACGATGATGACGATGATGATGATGATGATGATGATGATGATGATGATGATGATGATGATGATGATGATGATGATGATGATGATGATGGTGATGATGATGCTGCTGATGTTGATGTTGATGTTGATGTTGATGTTGATGTTGATGATGATGATGATGATGCTGATGATGATGATGATGATGATGATGATGATGGTGATGGAGGAAGGAGAAGGGGGAGGAGGAGAGGAGAGGAGGAGGAGAACGCGGGGCGACGTCTCTTCAAAACGATGACCCAATACCACAGGATGGCTGGGAGCAATGAAGATTTGCAACATTTCTAAAATTCGGTGGCACCCCTCACGTAGATCGGCGGGGCCAGGGTTCATTATCCTGGTGAAGGACCCAACCATATGCAATTGTGAATACTGCAATTGTGACTATCTTCTCGGTGGAGCCCCCTACGGGGCCACGAAACGTACGAGGGGTGTGCCGAAATGGGTGTGCGGGACGCATGCGGGCACACCCACTGGGGCCTTCGGTGGAGCTCTCTATGGGGCCACGAAACGTGTGAGGGGTGTGCCGAAATGGGTGTGGCTGACGCATGCGGGCACGCCCACTGGGACCTTCGGCGGAGCTCCCTATGGGGCCACGGAACGCGTGAAGGGCGTGCCGAAATGGGTGTCGCTGACGCATGCGGGCGCGGGCACTGGGGCCTTCGGCGGAGCTCCCTATGGGGCCACGAAACGTGTGAGGGGTGTGCCGAAATGGGTGTGGCTGACGCATGCGGGCGCGGGCACTGGGGCCGTCGGTGGAGCTCCCTATGGAGCCACGAAACGTGTGAGGGGTGTGCCGAAAT